ACGGGAATTCCCTTACAATTAAGATGTTATGTGTTTACTGTTAAGTTATTAATTAAGTAACCTATTGTTTCTGTCTGTTTGCTAATCCTCCTGACATGATTAGTCTTGTGTCAACTTTACCAAGTTACCTCAATGTGTAATATTTGTTTTTATGTTTCATGTGGTGACTGCCCCTATTTTCAAAGTGTATAAAAACCTGTATTTCTGCTCAATAAAGGAGTTCTTGTTTGCACCTAAGCTGGTGTTTAGTTCTTGGGTGCAATTCCCAGCTTGTCTGGTGACACTGGGACTTGTGAGCCATCAATCAGGGATACCGTTGCTGGCTTACACTGGTGTAGTGACACTGAAACTGGTGTGGCAGTGACCAGGGACACTGTAACTGGTATGATGGTGATCAGGGACAATATGACTGTAGTGGCGATGATTAGGAACACTGCATAAGCGATAATTTCTGACAGTTCTCAGCTACATTCCTGCAACCATTGAGAACACTGTGATAAGTTGTGATTGGCTACAGCTATCACATGGTACAGGGAGGTGGTGCTTTTCCCTATACCATGTGCTCACTGTGACTAATCACAGAGCTTACAGAGTTCTGAATGGTTGCATGAATGGCAACCATATTTACTACTGGTTGGTTACAGCAACCACATGGTACCAAGGCAGAGCACAGCCATTCGTTAATTGGACCAGTTATGCAATCGTGCTGATGCACACCTCTGAGGGCACGCAGGAGCTGCAGATCTGGGAGGACATATGGGTACGTCTCCCAGAACAGTGCTTGTCCTAGGGTTGCCACCTCATCCCTTTAAAACTGAACACATATTATTTACACAGGCCCTGAGGCTTATTTAATGCAGATAAAGCACTAAATGGGTTTAATCACCACCTTAACCACTTACCCTCCTGAGGATTTATCCCCCTTCCTGACCAGGCCATTTTTTGTGTTACAGCGCTGCATTACTTTAACTGACAATTGTGCGAACATGTAACGCTGCACCCAAATTAAATTTACGTCCTTTTTTTCCCACAAATTGAGCTTTTTTTCTGTGGCATTTGAACACCTGTGCGTTTTACATTTTTTGAGCTATAAAAAAAAAGTCTGACGATTTTGAGAAAAAGACAATATTTTTGGCTTTTTGCTATTAAACATGTCCAGTCATAAATTTAGGCCAAAATGTATTCTGCTACATGTCTTTGCTAAAAAAAATCCCAATACGTGTAAATGAATTGGTTTACGTGAAAGTTATAGCATTTACAAATGGCAGTATAGATACTGGAATTCTTTTCTTTTACTAATAATGGTGGAGATCAGAGACTTATAGTGGGACTGCGGCGGGCATTCTGACACTGGGGGGAACTGACTTGGTGTCACTCACATCCCCATTGACACCAATACAATGATCAGTGCTAAACAAAAAGCACTGACGCTGTACTAATGGCACTGGGCAGGAAGGGGTTAACATGAGGGGCGATCAAAGGGTTAACTGTGCGCTGGGAGTGTTTTACAGGAGGGCAGTGTGTTGGTGCTTCACTGTAAGCACACTGCTCTGGATGGCTGTGCCGACATGGAGGAGGACTGTTAGTAAACAAAGCAGCCCTCCTCCCAACGGAGATCCTCGGCAATCACCGGCTGGGACCCAGTGATTGGCAGCCGCGGCCGCGAATGGGGGTGCGGGTAGGACGCGTGCGCAGCTCACGTGTGCCCCCTACCCAGAAATACAAAATCACATATATATATATATATACGTGATTTTGCACACCCCTGCTGCCCTGTAGCAGTATATCTGCCATAGGGCATTGGGGAAGAGGTTAATCAGCCACAGAAACTGTGTAAATAAATTATGTTCGGATTTAAAGGGATGGAGTGGCAACCCTAGCTAGTCCCACTCAGCTGTTTATATGCAGTGACCATGTGGTAAGTGGTTAAAAGCATACTTTAGAATGATCTTTGCCAGGTCCTCAAATGTACTGAGAATTTTTGTATATTTGTATGGATGCTCGAATGACCGTTTGTTTGAAAATCTACTAGTATATGGCAAGCTTAACCTTTCTGAATCACAAGCAGGGATTCTCATGTCACCAGATAATTAACAAAAAAAAAAACCCGCTGTTGTTGGTACACTACAAACTGAATAAAAAACTGTGAAGACTGTGCTCTCTCTATATGCATTTCACAGTATAAAGGCTATCTATGGTCACAGTAAACTTTGATTTTATATAAGCATTGTAACAGCAATATAAACAATAGTTACATTTGACAATCCAATATGTTTACTTGAAAAATCTCCTTTCATGTTATGAGTACTGCCTGTCTTCTGGCCATTTCTTTCCACAACTTCTGGATTCCCTGCATGCATTGCAGCTTCTCTGCTGCTGTTCACTTCCAATTTCTAAGGACTACATATCCCATGGTACCTTGCTGTCTGCAAGCAGTGATTCCTATGCTAACTCTGCCTCCTGAAACTCCTCTGAGGACCTGCAGAAGGCAGGCTCTGTGAAACCTGTGACGCAGCACTGCCTACTCACAGAGCATAGAGAATACATGTCACAGAATTCAGGGAAGTAAATGTGTGGGGATCTTCACAAAGTAGGTTTACGGCAATGTTTCTCAACTGGGGTTTTGTGGAACCCTAGGGTTCCGCGAAAGGTCCCAAAGGATTCTGTGATGATCTTTCCATCAGTCACAGGCAGCTGTTAGGTAGATCGCATCCCCTTGGCAGACTCACCCACAGCTACACAAGCAAGTGGCTCTGCTTGTGTAGCAGTGTAGCGCTGCTCCCCACTGACCCCTCCTGTCCATCCCCGATGCTTGTATGTGACATCACCCAGAAAGGACAGTAAGGCTGGCCATACATTATACAATATTTTTGAGAATTTTGCTTTAGATTTACCAAAAACCATATAATATGAGGGCAAACCTAAACAACACTTTCAATTGTATCCAATTAGGCAGGCCCTTCCACTACATAGCTGAAGGTAAATCTTAAGTAAATTGGGCAGAAAGAAAATTGTATAATGTATGGCCAGCTGCCTGTGTCTCCTGTGAGAAGAGGAAGAGAATGAGAGAGGGGCTGCAGATAAGTTGGCACTGGATCGATGGAGGAGTCAGGCAAGGAGTTAGGGAACGGGGAGGGGGGATGTACTTTGATAAGTAGGTACATTGACACAAAAGCCAACCATAGATGGATCAAACTGATCCATTTGTGGGGACCCTGGTTGTCATTATGCCAATCCATCCATCCTTCCATGGCAGTAGTCATTGTGTCCTGCTGGCCAGGAAGGCTCCCTGCTGACAGAGCTACGGGAGGGATTCCCCAATTAACACTGACTGTTGGGTGATTCTCTTTCCTACAACCAGTGGTGATTGCAGGAAAGAAAATCGATGCTATGGCCTGCTTTATTAACATATTTAAATTGAAAAATTACTTGATCCGCTACAACAAGCAGCAGGAGCCTTCAAATATCATAAATAACAAAAGGAGGTTAATGAGTGACTTCTATTTGTTTTTTATGTAAATAGGTAGGAAGAAATGTCAATGGATGTAAGTGATAAATATCTAACCGTATCACATGGAAACGTTCCAACCAAGGCTTAATCAGGAGAGGTTACATACACTGATGGCTGTGATGAAAAGGAAATCATTTCTGAGTCTTTCTCTATTACCGCTGATACTAGAATCCAGTTGTCCTCCTTGGGAGTCAATGCTGAAAATGTTTTAAAAAAGCACACAAGGTAGAATAGATAGAGAGACACTTTCTTCATAATAGTAATGTATGGGTAAAAAGTAGTACTAAAGGCTATCTATCAATCAATCAATCTGTATCCAATCAGGCAGGTCCTTGCACTTCATAGCTGATGACAGATCTAAAGGAGATTGTGCAATCAGATTGTATAGTGTATGGTAAGCTTTAGTCTTTGATCCGCTCAGAATTTCCCATCTTATTTTTCATCAACTCTCTGTAGTTTTTGCATTCCTTTAATACTTAAAAGATAATTCCACTTTTGTAACAAAAAATATAGAAAATTAAAAAAAGAATAGTATATTAGTATAATAATATATTTTAACTATGTTATTAAAAATTGCCCTTCCTTTTCAATCTGCAGAACTGTAAAAATTCAGTAAAATTCTTAAAACATTTTGAGCATCCTCTACAATAGGAATTATATTTTTGGTGAGATTACTTACTTCTAAAGGGATGCAACTTTCTTCATTAGAACAGTACACGTGCATCAGCTGATTATATTGAACAGAGACATTCCTATTCAGGAATCAGTATTCTGAGGACATAGTGGAACATACAACTTTTTCTTAAGGACAGAAACGGGTAGGACGCTGTTAAAAAGTTTGTTAACCACTTCCCGCCCGACCTATTGGTATAACACAACACAAAGAAAAACTTTTTTTTCTTCAATGTTCAGTATTTTTTTTTCTTATAAAGCAAAATAAATAATCCAATGATGATTAAATACCACCAAAAGAAATCTCTATCTGTCGCAAAAAAAAATAACATTTTCATTTGGGTACAGTGTTGCATGACTGAGTAATTGGCATTTGAAAGTGTAAGAGCGCTGAAAGCTGAAAATTGGCCTGGGCAGGAAGGGGGGAAAGGGTCTGGTATTGAAGTGTTTAAAATCCTTACAATGCGCATCAAATACCAAGAGGGGATTGTTTTTTCTCATTGAAAGTGGAGTTACACTTAAAGTGTTCCTAAACCCTTGAACCTGCATTCACTGCATCTGGCTTCCCATAGTACACAGAACATGAAAATGCAATAATTTTAGGAAATATAAACTGCTAAATACCTTTTCTCATCAGCAGTATATAGAAATCGTGTGACTTCTATCAGTTTCCAGCAGAGCACTGGTTAAAGCTTGTAGGAGGAGTTTTCATTCTCCCCTGATGGTCCTATAAGGCTGCAGGACCCCTGACCCTCTGTCTGGGCAGCACTGATTGGCCCTGTGCTGATCACATGCACTCTTCCAAGCAATAAAAAAAACCTCTAGCCAGGGGCGGACTGACCATTGGGGAACTCGGGCACTGCCCGAGGGCCTGGGGTCAGTAGGGGGCCCCATGAGATGTCCCTGGTACCTTTCATAGGCTTTTTTGGGTGTGATTGGAGTGTGGGCAAGGACACAGGGGCCCCATGATCCCCTATTGCCCGGGGACCCCATGAGTTGTCATGGGGTCTAGCAATACACACCAAAATGAGCATGTGCAGTTTGCCCCCAAGGCTCTGTTCTATCAGGAGATGAGTTGGGGACAGTGGAAGAAGGGGAGGATCAGAGAAGACAGGATCAATCATCCTTTTTACACAATGCAGAGGATTAACCCTTTAAGTTCCACAGTGAGTATAACAAGCATGCTTTACTGCATATACAGACTGATTTTACTGTTGTGGGTTTAGTAACACTTTAAAAACCACTTCCCTGCCACCCTGTAGCAGAAATACTGCTACAGGGTGGCAGGGGTGCAAATCACGTATTTAGATTTAATTTTGTATTTCTGGGTAGGGGGCTCGCACGAGCTGTTAATCACCGGGTCCCAGTCGGTAATTACCCACCAGTGTCCGGTGATTACTGAGGATCTCCGACAGGGAGGAGGGCTGCTATGTTTACTAACAGTCCTCCTCCCTGTCAGCTCGGGCACACTGCTCTGGATGGCTGTGCACAGTTCCCCTCAGTGTCAGAATGCCCACCGCAGTCCCGCAATAAGTCACCATTATTAGTAAAAAGACATGGTGCAGAATACATTTTGATTTTTTAAATTTTTTTACTGGACATGTTTAATACCAAAAAGTCAAAAATATAGTTTATTTCTCAAAATGTTGATCTTTTTTTTTATAGCACAAAAAATTTAAAAACGCATAAGCGATCAAATACCACCAAACGAAAGCTCAATTTGTGGAAAAAAAGAATGTAAATTTAATTTGGGTGCAGCGTTGCATGATCGCGCAATTGTCAGTTAAAGGAACACGACGTACACAAAAAATGGCCTGGTCAGGAAGGGGGGTAAATCCTCTGGAGGGCTAGTGGTTAAGCTTTAAGTGAACCTGTATGCCAGTGTTAGAGATTCTGTATATAGCCCTACAGAACAGAGAGTGCACAGTCCACATGTGTTTATCTGCTGCTTCTCTGCAAAGAGGAAAACAGGAACTTTATTTAGAGAAAAGAGTTTAACCATAGATGCAGCTACAGACTTATAAACACTGCCATCTACTGGTTGAAGAATATATCTCTACTGTATCCTGTGGTAGTTTTGTGCAAAAACACATTATTCCAACAGTCAGGCTATAGACAATTATTTACCTAGTCTTAAAGCAACCCTGTCACTAAGGCCTAGTTCGCACTGGCATTGAAAGCAGACCCAGGGGTGGACTGACAACTCATGGGGCCCCCAGGCAATAGGGGATCATGGGGCCCCTGTGTCCATGCCCAAACTCAAAAAAGTCTATGAAAAAGGTACCAGGGGCATCTCATGGGGCCCCATTCTGACCCCGGGCCCTCGGGAAGTGCCCGAGTTTCCAAATGGTCAGTCCGCCCCTGAGCAGGCCTCATATAAAATGCCTCAAAACTATGCATAGGAAGTCTTGGGATTGTTTTTAGCGCTTGTACAACGCCCATACTAAAGCTCAATAATGTCAGTCTAACGCCCATACTAAAGCTCATTAATGCCTGTCTAACTCCCATACTAAAGCTCATTAACGCCAGTCTAATGCCCATACTAAAGGTCATTAAGGTCAGTCTAACGCCCATACTAAAGGTCATTAAAGTCAGTCTAACGCCCATACTAAAGGTCATTAACACCTGTCTAACGCCCATACCAAAGCTCATTAACGCCTCTCTAACGCCCATACCAAAGCTCATTAATGCCTCTCTAACGCCCATACCAAAGCTCATTAACGCATCTCTAACGCCCATACTAAAGCTCATTAACGCCTCTCTAATGCCCATACTAAAGCTCATTAAAGCCCCTCTAACGCCCATACTAAAGATCATTAAGGTCTGTCTAGCGCCCATACTACACCAGTCTAACGCCAATTCTAAAGCTCATTAACACCTGTCTAACGCCCATACCAAAGCTCATTAACGCCTGTCTAATGTCCATACTAAAGCTCATTAACGCCTGCCTAACGCCCATACTACACCAGTCTAATTCCCATACTAAAGCTCATTAACACCTGCCTAACGCCCATACTACACCAGTCTAACTCCCATACTACAGCTCATTAACACCTGCATAATGCCCATACTACACCAGTCTAACGCCCATACTACACCAGTCTAACGCCCATACTAAAGCTCATTAATGCCAGTCTAACGCCCATACTAAAGCTCATTAACGCCTCTCTAAGGCCCATACTAAAGATCATTAATGCCAGTCTAACGCCCATACTAAAGCTCATTAACGTCTCTCTAAGGCCCATACTAAAGATCATTAATGCCAGTCTAACGCCCATACTAAAGCTCATTAACACCTCTCTAATGCTCATACTAAAGCTCATTAATGCCAGTCTAACGCCCATTCTAACGCTATTGGAGCAGTTTTGAAGAGTTAGAAATTTAGTCAAGTTTGAACAAGCACTAAAAGAAGTCTTTAAATACTTATCTTTCCTGCTGTCCATACTGCCAAATGATGCTTCAATGACAAGAAATCTTTTGCTGAAGTCTGACCAACACTTCCAGTACTGCTGATCTTCTGGGCCCCCCACAGCTTTCATCCTCACCTACATATTTATTTATTTACATTATGATGAACATCAACCAGCTGTGTTGAAGAAATCTTGTTGGAAAAGTACGGAAAATATGTTTTTAAGCTCTACATTGTGTAGAATAGCAGTTCTGTGATTTCCAAGAAAACGATAGAATAGGTGAAGCGTGCTGTAACAACTCTACATACAAGTGCATTGAATGTACAGCTTTGCATTAATTTCTCCTTTAACTAAGATGAATGGCCACTAGATGGTGCTGAATGAGCAGTAAATGTAGACAGAAGGCATGTTTTTTAACAGACAGATCAATTCTTCATCCAGCATATGACATATCCTATAGTGCGGGACACTAGAGTCCATCCATTATTATTGCTGCTTTTAAGGGGAACCTTCCCTTTTTCTGTCCTGATGACATCTAGAATATCTCTGTGAGCTGAACATCTCTAAAATGTATTTACCATGCATGCTTTTGGAAAATACCCCAGAGAGCCAGGAACACTGTCATCCGCCCCTAGCAGATTTTCCAACAGATTATAGGAATACATTCCCAAGTGGAAACAAGAAGTGTGTGTGAGTATATAATTCTATTCATTCTATTTTTTTAAGTTTTGAATAATATGGAGAAAGGTTAGAACCCAATTTAGGTTTTATTCCTATCCGGGGCTCTGTAAATCTAAGTGTTTTGCGGTGCGTTTTGCATTTTGCAGAAACGCACTACAGTCCATTTAACATGATTTCCTATGGGACAAATTCACATCTCCGTGTTTTCACCTAGTGCATTTTTTGGAAAGGGTCAGGGAATTTTTTAAAGTGTTACAAAACTAAGGACCCGGCATTTACTATATCTGGTCTCCCACAGTACACAGAATATAGAAGTGCAATTATTTAGTAAATATAAACTGCTAAATACCTTTTCTCAGCAGCAGTTAGAGCAGTCTTGTGACTTCTATCAGTGTCCAGCCGAGCACTGGCTAAAGCTTGTAGGAGGAGTTTTCTTTCTGCTCTAGGAGGATGGAAATCCCCTGACCTCTGTTTGGACAGTGCTGATTGGCCCTGTGCTGATCAAGAAAAAAAAAAAACCTTTCTAGCAATACACACCAAACTGAGCATGTGCATGTGGCTACAGGTTCAGTTTGTTTTATCAGGTGGACTTTTGAACAAGAGAAGGGCAGGGAAGTCAGGATCAAATGGTTTTTTACACAATGCAGAGGATTAACCCCTTAGGTTCCACAGTGATTATACCAAGCATGCTTTACTGCATATACACTGATTTTACTGTTGTGGGTTAAGTAACACTTTAAGTCCCCGGTCACACTGGGTGCGATTTGGCATGTGATTCGTACGCCATACGACTTGCAAATCGCATGGCAAGTCACACCCTATTGTCCGTAATTACAGTAGTTATATCGGTGCAGCTCTGACTTGGTCAGATCTGCACCGATTTCTAAAGTAGTACATGCACTACTTTTGGTGCAATTTGCATAGACATCTGCATCAGATGTCTTGCAATTCACACCTCAGATTGGCATGTCATCTGACTTTGAAATTATGCGACTTCTCTATAAGTCCCCAGTCACACTGGGTGCGACTTGGTATGCGATTTGCATGCCATATGACTTGTAAATCGCATGGCAAGTCACACCGTATTGTCCGCAATTACAGCAGTCATATCGGTGCAGTTCTGACTTGGTCAGAGCTGCACCGATTTCTAAAGTAGTGCATGCACTACTTTGGGTGAGATTTGCATAGACAATTGCACCAAAAGTAGTGCATGTACTACTTTAGAAATCGGTGCAGATCTGACCAAGTCAGAACTGCACCTATATGACTGCTGTAATTGCGGACAATACGGTGTGACTTGCCATGCGATTTGCAAGTCGTATGGCGTACGAATCACATGCCAAGTCACATCCAGTATGACCGGGGACCTAAAGTGTTACTAAACCAACAACAGTAAAATCAGTCTGTACATACAGTAAAGCATGCTTGTTATACTCACTCTGGAACCTAAGGGGTTAATCCTCTGCATTGTGTAAAAAAGCCATTTGATCCTGACTTCTCTTGTTCAAATGTCCACCTGATAAGACAGACTGAACCTGTAGCCATATGCACATGCTCAGTTTAGTGTGTATTGCTAGAAAGGTTTTTTTTTTTTTTTTTGGGAGAGTGCATTTGATCAGCACAGGGCCAATCAGCATGGTCCAGACAGAGGTCAGGGGATTTCCATCCTCCTAGAGCAGAAAGAAAACTCCTCCTACAAGCTTTAGCCAGTGCTCGGCTAAAGTAGGATGGCATGCCAATTTGAGGTGCGAATTACAAGACATCTGACAAAGATATCTATGCAAATCGCACCAAAGGTAGTGCATGCCAAGTCGCACCCAGTGTGACCGGGGTCTTAGAG